GAATAAAGAAGTGTAATAACAATTACATGTAAAGATAGATCCTTGTAATGCAAACATTCCAGAGTAACTCGCATGGAAAATATGTTCATGAATAAAGAAGTGTAATAACAATTACATGTAAAGATAGATCCTTGTAATGCAAACATTCCAGAGTAACTCGCATGGAAAATATGTTCATGAATAAAGAAGTGTAATAACAATTACATGTAAAGATAGATCCTTGTAATGCAAACATTCCAGAGTAACTCGCATGGAAAATATGTTCATGAATAAAGAAGTGTAATAACAATTGGTTGCATGGCCTTGCCGTGGCCACTTGCAGTATGGTCGTAGTCTCATCAGTTCATGTTATCGGCTTGATTATCTTATAACAACTGAAATATACTCTCGCCCGCTTGACGCTCAGCTGCAGCTTTTGGCTGAGTTTTGAGAAGGTAGAGAGCAGTGGATGCATGGTATTTTACTCAAATAAAACAATCCTGAGCATCAAAAGGACAAGAAGTTCCGATGGAACCAAAATTCATTTCTGCGCGAATAAAAGTCCAAGTACATGGCGCATCACTGTAACTCTAGTTAAGCGGCCAGCGGAGGAAATTTAACTGTAGACAAGCGATGTCGGTAACCACTCAATATGTTTATAGTCCGATTGATTTCGCTTTTGGAGGCCGAATCAGGCAAAAAAATTTATCTCAGTAATGCAGCAGGAATTTCCAACGAAAAGCATGAAGGATATTTATAAAAGTTGCACTAGACTAAAAGATTCCTGTAAAATTCGTCTATTTTCTCTTTTTAGCGCATTTTCTTATAAATGGAAAAAATGCACTATTGTGCTCGCCATGTCCGTCCGTCTGTCCGACCGTGACTTCACGTTTTCGTCGACGAGAAAATGCGCTCGTTGCCACTCATTGCAGTGAGTACTGAGTTATATTTTTATTTCTAGAAGCAATCTTAAACGAGTTTCAACCTTGTATTGAAAAATTCTTTTAGCGGAGATTGATGCGAAATGAAAATAAAAAACAATAGTGTGTGATAAATCTCTGTCACGTTGTAAGAGTAGGCTCCCATCTGTCATTATTTTTGTATTTTTTTTGGACTAAAATCGACAAAAAAATCTGCAATTCACGGCTAATGAAATCTTAAAACTACAACGTGATTAATCTAAAATTTAACTCTGCGATTGTTGTATCATGTAATGTGTCAACAATATTATCATTTTTAAGGAACTACGAAGTTAAGTTTACGATATTAACTGTACAGTTGATTTCACTCACAACTTGTGCATGTATTTGAAGTATTTTCCTGTTCCAAATTGCGTTTTATGCAATTTTGCGTTTTATGCAAGTCTCTTTTGACTCATAAAAAATGGCCCCGGAAGGACCCAGTAACTCCTTTAACGAGGTCATTAGTGGGATTATTAGTGACGCTTAGCATTTGAATGATGTATTGGCCGCCACTACTGGCTCCGTATATATGCTGGCTGCCGCTACTGTACCCGTGTATATAGGTACTTTGTATTGGCCGCCACTACTGGCTCTCGTGCACCTGACTCCGTGCACCTGACTTCGTGCACCTGACTCCGTGCACCTGACTTCGTGCACCTGACTCCGTGCACCTGACTTCGTGCACCTGACGTCAGCTGGCAGAGCAGGTCTACAAGTGTGGCCCTCATCGGCTCGTCGGCCGCCAGCATCACTCAATGGCTGTAAAATGTTGCGAGTATACATAGTCCTACTTACTCGTGGTGGGCGGCGTTATTTAATGTATTATTAAATCTTGACTCCGGCAGAAAAGTTATTTCGGTTCATGTGATAGATTTGAAGCAGCTGATAACTTTTTATATGATAATTTCAAGGCGTAAACGTTACCACTCCAGTTCTAGCAACTCAACGCCGGAAAGGATGGCTTTCACCATGAGAAATAGTTGGTACAAACAAATCGTTGGTTGAAAAATCCAGAGAAAATAAATTAACGACACCACGTTCAATTCATGACAGTATACATAATATATCTTTAATCAAAGGGAATAATTTTATGGTACCATATCCATCTTAAGGAATTATATTAAATCCTTTGTGAATAAATGTTTGACACAATTTCAGACTCAATTTACGAACCGACCTGCTACAAAAAATTGTTACATACAGTCTTTAATTGCAAAAATTCTTCTCTCTGCATAAGATAGGCTCTCTAAGCCCATCCAATTGTTACAATAGACAACCTGTAGTATCATTTCGAGCTTCAAGTCGTCAAGTCACGAAAAATTCCTGGGCATGCCAATTAATCCTTCGCTTTCTGACAAAATTGAGTGGTTTGCTGAATAAATAAATTGGGACATGTGCTAATCTAGTCTGCGAATAAATATGAGTGATTTTTTTCCTAATCCTGCAATAAAAAAATAAATGTTGCGTTCAACAGAACCTGCGTAGCAATCATTATCCTAACGAAAACAACCTGTTCTCGAATTAAGTTTCATACGTTTCAATACGTTTAATAAATGTGCAATGAAGTGAGAAAAATGACATATGTTCAAGATTTGTGACATGAATTTTCGATCATAGTAAAGAATCTTGCTTGGATACAAGGATTTAGTACAGGATCATTAGGACCAGGGTATTTTTATTAGTTTATTTTCGAGGTAAAGGACTAACCGTATCACCTCTACCACTTCTCCATTAGCGGCAGAACCTGAACCTTGCAGGAAGAAATGTGGACGATGTGTGGGACATACGGGGAAGCACGGTCAGACCTTTTGCATTAAAACTATAGGTTAACAGTCCTGTTAGTTTTTTTATTAACTTTTCTTTTTTAATATAATATTTAATTAAATCTTATAATAATCATTTAAAAAGTAGTCTTAATTTGAAAAGTTTCCTAATGCCGCTCCACGCACAATGATTGAGAACACTAAATTTTTTGTGGAAACTTTTTTGTCGGAGTCAAGATTTATTAATATATTAATAAAAATTGTACCAAATTTCTCTCATGCCAATTGATTTTGTTTTCAAGCACTCAATCTCCTGCCTGTTTAAGCCGAAAATGGCCATACGTGCATGCCTTCAAAGTTCATATCACTCAGCAAACGGTGGAGATAATATATGGTGATACCATATATATCTCAGCGCTTATATGGTGCCAAGTCTCGCTGCTGGCGACTCCTTGCCTGGAAACATTGATCAGTAGCGTCGGTTGTTAGCAACCGAACACCAAGTGCCGCGCGCGCCCCGTCGAGTTGTGGCGTCAGTGATCTTGGCACCGTGGCAGTGGGGGCAGTGACACGTAGCTCGTGGTGACTGCCGGGCCGTGTCTTGGCACCGCGGCAGTGGGGGCAGTGTCTTATACACATCTAGATGTGTATAAGAGACAGCAGCTAAAGTAACAGCAGTGCGTGGCATCACCACTTCACACAGCTAAAGTAACACACTGGTGCGTGGCATCGCCACTTCACACAGCTAAAGTAACAGCACTCGTGCGTCGCATTAGTACTAATAGCTTATTTTAAATGGACCGTGAACGTCAAAAAATTTTATTTACGGCCGGATCATTTTGAATCTTGCAACACACATACGTAGCAAGACTTCTTTGTTCATGAAAATTTTTAGAAAAAAATGAAAGAAAACGGGAAATTTATAGAAATATTCACGATTCTTGTAGACCATATTTAGCGACTATCCTATCAATTGTTCAAATTTTTATCATTTTTCGGATTTTTCAATTTGGCCCCTCCCCCATTGTTCCAAAATATAATCAAGCAAAAAGTAAATCAGAAAAAGTGACCGGACGATCGCCAGACCAGGTCTTTACAAATCGAATGGCGTATCTCGCAATGCTGTTGCCTGGAAATCATACAAAGAAATAGATTTCTAAATGAAAATTCCAAGTGCCAAAAAAACTGAAATTTCTGCTCATTACAGTTAGGTGTTTTATCCACGGCTTTGCTCTGGATTCTGGCAAACAAATGAACGTACAAACATTGCTTTGGGCTCTTTAAATGCGCAGTTCTTGGACCTTTAAAATGACCTTGAAAACCGGAAAAATCTCAATTTTCGATTTTTGACGAGCAAGCTCCCCTTAAAACACGATAAACGTTAAAGCCCTACAAATCCTTTAAACCCTTTTAAACTCCATTTCACGCATTCAACACATATATGGTCACACAAACACACAATAAAACTCCTGATTTCCCGTAGTCCACTATATATCAATGGTCAGTGAGAGCTTACTATATAGGAGTGCCGGTAAAATTTATATCAATATAGCCATCGCCATGACGCGATTAAAAAGCAATTCAAATCTATCACTTTTGGGATCCACGAAAATTGCAGAAGGATTGATCAATTATCAGCAAACTTGCTTATTCCAGCTCGTAGAAACAAAACATGCGTTGAGAAACCCACACGAACGCGCAAAGATTTGTGGGGTGAGGAGCCTTCAGGGTGCTAAGCACACGTATTAGTCGTTCTTGTTACACAACATGAGTCTTTTATATGCTATAAAAGCAATTCAAAGAATGTCTGCTGCAGACAATTACTGCCACAGCCTAGAGTTGCGAGCAGCTCGACATTGCCTTCAACCTGACTTTTTATTCAACCCAAAGTTGGGTTCAACCAATAAACGTGAAAACAAAACGTTCTTTGCACTGTAAAAGTTTTGCCAATTTCTCCCTGTGTCAAAGTCGGAAGCAAAACCTAATAGCAAAACGCTGCTCGAGATTATTGCCAATCATTACCAAAGACAGCAGAAAACCCAAATTCTCTTAACTAATCACGACTGAGGATCAAAATGTCGTCAGTAGAAAATTCGAATTCTCACACACATGCATAGATGCCTCCCATCAAAGGAAAAGCGGATAGCCACTAGGCTGCCAGTCTCATCACTTATGAGACTAGGAGGTAGATAAGTAGACACTAGTCATATACACTCATATAAAAGAAGAACCCCGCTTTGAACGTCTTCGCCGCCGCAGTGCCTCGGAGAGTGATAGTTACAGAATCGAAGTGCTTGCCCTGCAAATTAAAACCATATTAGGAGGTAATTTTAATACTGACGCTCAAAATGATTACATATGTTCTAGTCTAGTGACTTATTTTCTCAAGACCAAAAATGCGAAGACATTTTTTTATTTAATTCTTATAAGCAATGGATGAGATTTGATTTTGAACGGTAATGCAAGAAGAATAATAGAGGAGTCAGCAGATGACAGTGAACAGGTTATTAGACAAAAAGGATATATGAACTAATGCAGTCCTGCAATAGAGTGTAAGTGACAGGGAACTAAGGAAATTAACTTTCAAATGCGAGGATCGAATATAACCTGTTCAATTTTTCGGCAATTTTGATCCAAAATTGTTCAGCTGGGACTAGTGATCCGTGACTAATTTGATCCGTGATTGTTCAGCTGGGACTAATGTTGAGTAGTTAAACAGAAAAATCGCGACTCAATGTGATGGCAAATAACTTGTACATAAATCTTTTTTGAAATTGTGAGCAAATAGAATGTTCGAATAACTCAATCGTTGTAATATGAAGAGACGATAAAGCGCATCCTGTCACTGACCCATTTATCGGTGCACAAATTAACGTTTTCTGAAGTGCCGGACAGAATTTTTTCAGCGCCCAGCGTGTAGCCGTCGCAGGACCCGTCAATGCCAGAAAAATAACCATAATAGCCTATGCCCAGTGTAGTAGCTGTCGTGAAGGTGACGTTGCAGTTGTAGGTTGGGCCGTCGGGGAAAGTCTTGCATCCAAACCCGGGATGTGAGAACACCGAAATTCGTTCTCCACTATTAAGAGTCGGGATTTGGATGGTTTTGCCGCATTCGTTTACTGCAAATTGAAATTAATATAATAATCTAACTGCAACTGAAAAATTATCAGCGAAGTAAAAAGGCTACATCACAGGGTAAGGGCTAGAAATATTTGATCATGGATGATGAGGCAGTAATATTTATTAGAATTCGGTTATTATCCTAAATTTTGTATTTACATTTTGGTTTCGAGTTCAACGAAAATAAAGTGCGGAAGGCCACGGTTAGTTGATTAGTGTGCCGTGAAAAGCCTGAGATGAGTAAAGCTTTGAAGACTTACGCTCAACTTTGAGTTGAAGCAGCGAAGCATGTACGAAGATGAAGCCTAGGCGGTAATTAAATTGTTGACGTTCAAGAGTGTTAATTTAGCAGAATAGTTTGCAACACGTTGATTATTTAATTGGTTAATTTGAAGACAGTAGTGTAATAAAATGTTTTCATTAGATTTATCAGTAACCCTAAACCTATAAGGTCATGTAGGCATGTTGAGGAGTCCTTAGGGCCCCCAGAACACGATATTCAAGGTTATTCACATGATCTGATATACTCTAAGATACACAATTAAAAACGTTAACCGCGTATCACCGCAACACGTACTCTTACATTGCAGACATGCTCTGTTGGATAACAATAACAACGGGGGAAATTCCTTCACATCCTATTTAAACACATTTGATTATGACATTTGCTGACAACACAGATCTGCAAAAAACACTTTTTAAAATTGATTTATTATTACCATGTTGAATTGTTTCTATGTAATTTTTTTGGGCTGATATCAAAAATAATATTGATTTTTCTCCTATCACGTATGACAAAATAATTTCGAAGTATAATGATATCGGATTAGTTTGTATTATTTTAAAATGAAGGAAAAACAGAACATGCAGCAATATTTTGTTAAATAAAATAGTAGAGATAAATATGTGCTGCAAAGTTATTATAAGTCTTTGTAGAAACACTTTCTTCTTCTGTCATAGCTATTTATGATGTTTTTGGTTGGGTCCATTTGAATTTTCAATTTTTAACATACAACAGCAGTCTGCCACCTTGACATTCTATTAACCTTGGCGCTTCATTTCTCTCATATTTTGATGGAAACATTCTCGTTGTTCCTCACTTAGAGCTTCAAGATTTTCTGGAAAGTAGTCCACGTGTGAGCGAAGGAAATGGACTCAGGACTCATTTTAGCTCAACATTTGTAGTTTTGTAACAATTTAGCAAAAAGGACTTCGATTTTTTATTGCTAAATCGATTTTTATATTGCGATCGATTTTATCGATTAAGCAAGTCACAACTAATTTAAATGAATTCCAAGAATTTGTTCTGGCATTTCCATTCTCTGATGAAAGTTTCGTCATTTGCAAGTTTTCTTACGTATGGCCCAAAAAATGACTCCCTCTTTCAGCTTTGCTCTGCATAGACCATGAAACTTTTCACGAAGGTTACTTGAAACACTTTCCTTTTTGCTCAATGTTTTCACAAACTGTTTCAAAAGCGCCAACTTGATATGAACTGGAAGTGAGATCTTTTTTGGATCGACTAAACTTTGTATTTGGACATTTTCAACTCTGAGAACAAGAGCCTTTCTGATTGGCCACGTCTGGCTGATATAGATTTGTCTTCTCTCACGGCTATCCCATTCACTGAGTGCAAAATAGCAAAATACTGGTGAAGCCACTAGCTAAACACGTGACATTTTTTTCAGCGATAACCTGTGCAATTAATACTTCTCATCGCAAAGGAAATCTTTAAGAACTTATGACGTCGACGTTTTTTTCAAGTCCATCGTACCAGCCTTTCCAGAATTTGAAGTCGCATTAATTTAGTTGAAATCCACTGTATTCTTGAACGACATCCCATTCTAATTTTCGCAGCATTAATAAAATTTTAGCAAACGCATCGGTTATTGGTTCTCTTCGTTATATAAACAAATACTATGCCTTGGTGCTCACGTATGTAATAAGTCGGCCAAATTGTGGTGACGAAGATGGGCACCCCGCATGGGACGTCGGTGACGCAAGAAGCCACGTCCAAATAGACTTTATCAAGAGCATTGAAACCGCCATCTTCTCCAGGAAAGACGTATAAGTACTGGAGAGCTCTGACATCTGGAAAAAATTCAATCATTAGTTATGTAATTAGAACGTAATACAACAATAGAGTGCAATTTGGTTGAATTTTAAAGTTTGAATTAACTTACGTTTTAAAATCCTATGGGGAAAACTAATAAAAAAAAAGTTTTAATACCTTTGAAAAGTTTGCGCGCCAAGATAATCAGTGCCACTCATAATGCAGCAACAGAAAACGTTAATTAAAAAAATAATGATAAAGAAATTAAATCAAATTCTATCGTTTTTGCCATCTTGAGGCTGGCAGCTCCCATCAATAAGTCATGTGCATAAAGCCTATAATAAGCTTTGCATTCTCAACAGTTCCCATGTCAAAACTTTCACTTGTCTAAAAAGAAGATCAGCTCCATTTCATCGTGATTATTTGAATGACGTGCGTAAGAGTGAAATAATTGTTCACGTTTCAAACAAATTCAGCAGAAAATGTCAACAGGACAAGGAGCGCGTCATGTCCATATACGCGCCTACTCCGTTGCGCGCAGTGCACAGTTCAAGCGCTGCTCCAAATTTTTACTGAAATAAAGAAACTGCACCACCTCAAGATTGGGCGTTGTTAAGCGGTGCTGAGAAAAGATAAGATTGTTCCTTTTAGTTTGATACGAGTAATAAGTATTTCAGACATTTTAGACAACTTACCATCTGTGTAAAATGGTTCCAAAACTTGTGAAAAAACATCCGAGAAGAAATTAACGAGCTGGTACTCCTTGACTTCGAGGTTTCGGACAGTGGTGTTGATGTAGGGAGCGGTGCCTGTTGAGATATACATAGGTAAACCACGATTTACTGTCAAGGGTAAACGACATGTTAAATAGAAGTGTCTTTTTAATAGAGGTGGATAACAATTAACTATCCTAGGCAAGTGAATATTTGGTCGGAGGTTAGCATGAGGAATGAGCGCCAATAAGTTTTAAGGATTGGTACGAGCGCAATCTCTAGGGAACCTGACCGCTGGTGTCACCTGCTCGCTATTAGCTGGAATAACCTTGGAGCTATGTAGTGGTAGTGACTTGTGAGATTATGAAGCGCTCAGTGGTAGCGACTTGTGTGATTATATCTCGCTTCTCGTAAGATTTAGTATCCAAAGTTTGGGTACGATTGTCTTTCAGTACTATTTATACAAGTGATTATTATTTCATATACTTTGGTCCTAAACCGTTGTGCACCACTGGATCTACAGTGTAACCCCATCGTTTATGGGATTACTATACTATGTATAGTAATCCCATAAACACAACTTGCCCACTAATCCCACTATAGTTGTATAGTAATCCCACTATACACAACTTGCCCAAATGGAGGAAGAACATCCTACTAAGAACGTTTAAGGCCCTGAAATAATCACCATAGCGGTAATTTAGCGCATTGCATAAACTACGCTCACATATAAATGCGCACGCCTACACTTACTCTCTACAATAATCCAAGATACACACCAGTAAGGACACTCACAAATTCACTCCCTCATGTGCATATTAGTAAACCTAAACTCACACAGGCTCAGAGTTGCCGGCCTTTATTTTTCCTAAACTCAGTCATATACATCGGAACTCCACAAATGCGAGCTTTTACGCTGAACTCCTAACTTTTTCAAGTCCCCTCCGCACTCAATGTTGACAGGCAAGGTCTGCTAAGGGCCATGAGGCGAAAGTCAGGGTGCTTTTACAGGGGGCTAGTATTAGCTCCGAGTATTCGATGCAAGTATTTGTACTCCAAATATTGGGATTATTTATTCAGTAAGTAGCTGATGCAAATGCGTCTGAAGCAGTACAGGTTGATAATGTGCCACCAAGAATTGGCAGTGATGCTGCAGTAACCGTAATGTGCCCATCTGTGCCGCTCTGTATCGCGTTAGGGGCGAATATTTCTAATGTTATAAACTCTGTCTTGTCCCAACGCCGCCAGTTCAAAGAACGCCAAGAGGTGTTCGAATGATATTGAACTGTTCTTATCAATATTTCAAATGTATGATCTAAGGTATAATATGCGTCGCGATGAATATTTCAGCAAAAACTAATGGAGAAAGTAGTGTTTTGAAACTTGAACGATACCTTATCAGGTCTCTTACGCAAACTCTACGCTGATCTACATAGTTTTTCACCTCCTCAGCAGGTTCCATTGCCTGCTTCATCAAACGCTTCCTCAATCTCGTCGTTACCGTTACGTTCCATATTCCACCATGTACAGACCTCGCCCGACGGCTTTGAATGAGGTCTGTACGACGAACTGGCACTTGCGGATGCGAAAATACAGTTTACCAAATATTATCCTCGTAATTAAGCTTTCAGCCGGCAAAACTGGGAGTGCAAAAACTTGCAGCGCGTGCCCGCAGCTAATACTAGCCGCGTGTAAAAGTGCCTTTAGGCTCAAGATTAGTGCAAGTCCCAGCCGCGCATAATAAAGTCACTTAAACAACATTTCTGCCCTCTAACGCTAGCCTGCTAGGTGTTATTTATCCACAACAAGTTACGCGAGAGTCTTGTGAATACAGATGGATGTAGTCAGATGATGATGATGAATGTATTGTATTTGGTTGTGGAATCAGAAATAGGTCACTCAGGCAACCATAACCTTAACACATTTATTTATTTCAGGGTTCCCTCGATCGCTGACATTTCGACTTTAGAGCAAATTCTCTGCTGCAGAAATCAAATCCTAATTCTGCGTTCATCTATTATTCCAGTGAAAATTGAAATGTGTAACATGATTTTATGTGATGCTGGTCAACTGAACTACGAATTTTGCATCTTATTTATCGGCAGTGAACGTACGACACTTACACATTAACGTAACAGCTCATTCATACAAGTATCTCAGGGACTCACTGAAAGGCACAGTTGCAGGTGGTCCATAGGAAATGCTGGAATTCGCCACGTAAATGACTTTCTCGCCACCAAGACAGGAGCAGAGCTTCCTGTTGAATTGGTAAGTCGTACAGGTTCCATCGAAGGCGAAGGCAGTCATATCTGGAAAAATTTAATTTGCTTATTGGCAATTTTGTATGTGATTCACAGAAATGGGATTAATATTTATATGATTAATATATATCATTGAATTTGTATCTCACAAGAGCCGTAAATGTAAAAACATATTTTGCAATCACTGCTCTTTATTACTGAGTTTATATGCTTGTTGATGGATTACCTTGTGAACTGAATTTTTAATGTTGAAAATAATTAGCTAATCAGAGGGGAAACCGAAATCAGATGGTCATTTTATTATGTCTCACTCTAACCCAACCAATGCTTAACATAGGTTTCGTATTGTTTAGAAGCATGGCATAAAGTTTCCCCAATTGAAGGCAACTTTGGCACAACCACTTGAAAACACGTCATAATAAATTTGCAAAACAATGGAGAGATGTTGACACGCTTGTGATATAGGAATACATAGTTTGTTTACAAATATATTATTTGTTGACAAATAATATAATAAATGCTTTATGATATGGAGCTGATTACATTATGACAGGTCCCTAAATTTGTGCCAATCAGACCCTAGCTGATCGTACCTTTCATAAATAACATTTAGTTTCATCAAAGTTGACTAATAATTACAAACGTGCGCAAAAAGTTTCATAATAAGGATTGATTCGCAACATACTGCCCGGCCCTCACCAGTCATGGTCCAGTCCAATATTCTTTAATGGATTTCAATAGAAGCATGCAAGCCACCCGTGCCAAGCACTTGTCAAGCCAGGCACGGTCCAGCCACGATCAAGGCAAAAAATATTTTGACCTGGTAAGAAAAGAACTGAAATGATGAAAATAATACGAAAGGGACTGAAGTGAAGACTACGAAAGGGATTGAAGTGAGAACTACGAAATGGACTGAAGTTAGGACTACTATAGAAAGTGAAGGGATTGAAGTGTGGACTGCGAAGGGGACTGAAGTTAGTACTACGAAAATGATTGAAGTGAGGATTACGAAAGTGGCTGAAGTTAGAACTACGAAAGAGACTGATGTAACGACGACCCGTGACCGGACTGAACATGCGAATGCACCTGGCTAGGAACGGACCGTGACTGGCTTATGCCCGGCACGTGCCAGGCAGCGAGGTGAGAATCAAGCCTAAATAAGCCCGGAAGTCACTACTCGAAACCGCGTCGTTGTATCGGTGATACTGTCGGCAGCCGCCTTCGGTCTGGTCAGCCTTGCCCGAATGCAAGGTAAGTTCATCCTGAATGCTACTACCAATATTCTGTCCATAGATCTAAATCTTTTATCATCCGGTATAGTTTACGATAACCTTTTAGTATTTTTCAAGTAGTGAAATCGCAATAACAAAGCAAACGCTGTTAAGAAGTGTCTGTCGGATGAAGCGCGTCATTATCGGATAAAATGAATAATGGCTTCATAAGGATTGAATTAAAAGCAGGATTCTCACTTGCCAAAGCAGACAATCTCGCGCACTGCGCCACGTCCGAAGCGGCGATATTCTGGGATGCAATCGTTAAGGAGACCAAATCGCTCGCCGTGATCGAAAGGCGTCGGTATGTCTGAGAGAAGGACATACGTTAGCATCGGCACGTCTGAAGAAAGGACATACGATGGCGTCGGTACATCTGAAGGAAGGACAAACGTAAACGTTGGTACGTCTGCGTGAAGGACACACGGTAGCGTCGGTACGTCTGTAGAAAGGACACACGCTAGCGTCGGTATGTCTGAAGAAAGGACGCACGTTCCCAGTTAAAATTTAGGGCAGGGAATAGAGCAGGCCGTCGCCGGCTGCAGAGCCGGCGTAGAGACGCGACAGAGCAGCGATAGAGCAGAAATGTCCGCTTTAGAGACGATATCGCCAGCCGCGTATCAGCGCTAATTAGCTTCTGAGTACCTGCCCAGGTGTGCTCTGCCCTGCCGTCACGCAGCCCTTACTGAGCACCGCCTGCTCAAATCTGCCCAACGCCTGCTCTGGGGCGGCTCTGGCAATGTACGCGGCAGTTACGCGTCACCGTTTGTCAACAACGATTTAAAAAATTTGTTCCTTCTCTCTCTGAGCTCACCTAGACTTCTCTCTTGCAATGACAGGTTGTATTGACATTGGTTACTGACATTCTCATCGCATTGACATTAGCAACGTAATTTAGAATCGAACAAATTCAATTGTCGAGGAAATATATACATCAAATTACTCACCGCTATGAACTATCTGCAAACGTCGACTGAAGCTCCGGGATTCGAACGCTCTGCCGGGCAATCCCAAGTACCAGCGCTAAAACAGCGCAGAGTACCGTCTCTGCCGAGCTGCTAGAATTTTGTCTCTGTATCAGCCATGGCGCAGCGCAGTTTTAGGGATAGATGGCCGGTTATAGTTTCACGGCTCCATCCTGCTAAAGCGCGACCAGCCCGGCTAAACCCGGCGCCGGTCTCGGCTCAAAATTTTAACTGGGTTAGGCGTCGGGGTGTCTGGAGGAAGGACACACGTTTGTTCGGGACGTCTGAAGGGAGGACACACGTTAACGTCAGTACATTTGATGAAAGGACACACTTTAGCGAGGGTACGTCTGAAGAAAGGACACACGTTAGCGTCGGTTCGTCTGAAGAGAGGACACGTGTCTGAAGAGAGGACACGTGTACATCAGAAGGAAGAACACACGTTAGCGTCGGAATGTCAGAGAGAAAGACACACTTTAGTGACGGAATGTCTGAAGACACAGCGTCGGACAAACGTTAGCCTCGCTACGTCTGAAGGAAGGAAAAAAGTTAGCGTCATTAAATCAGACATATGGTCACGTTTTCACCGATTACTTAATGGAAGGACTCGCGTTGTCCCACATGTTAATCATTTATCAAGCTTTTTTTAAATATGCAAATCAGCGAGTAATTCATGTATTAGCTAAAAATACGAGTATTAACTCTACTTATATGAAATTAAATTCAATAAACCAGCATGAAAAAAGTGATAACAGGTAAACGACTCGAAAAATGATTCACAATATCAAGGAGTATTATACAAAAATTCGTGGAACAAAATCGGCGGGGCATAAAAATCTACGTTACAAACATGTTTCCAGCTTAATATTGAAAAATATATATTTTTCCTGAAAGAGGTATATACTTGAAAGAGGTATAAACCTGAAAGAGGAATATACTTGCTGCCGGAGTGTTGCAAATTTTTTTTTTTGTATTTGCAAGGCTCACCACCATCGATTTCGGCCCTCGCATCGTCAGGGTCCTGAAGCGCACGGAAGTGGTGGTCGCCCGACAGCCCTGCAGTCCAGACGAGCGTGAAGCCACGTTTAACTGCGGGTGAACATGGGGGGGAATTACTAGACATGTTAAAGGTTAATAATTACGGATAAAATTCGTATCTGTAATTGATGATATGTTCAGCTTGTTTGTTCATGGTTTTCTATAAGGCTCTGTGCGAAAGTGCGTGGATCACAGTAAGAGAATTAAATTAGACTTTGTTGAAATAGCGATGCACTTCTGTGTGCGTTTGATTCAGAATGGGTTACCCTGACACAATTTGGCCCGGCCTAAGAGCACAGACGTGTTACGCTTCTGAGGTGCAATTAATCGATTCGATGTTGCCGGATGAGAAGGATTAAAAATAATTTTGTGAACCTGATCCTAAATATATTCCAATCAAATGATCGGATAGATCATGATAACTGTATTCGATTAATGATTAATTAATTTATCACATAAAATTAATAAAAAATTGAACCTTTCAGTTCCATTTTTAATTGACCTAAACCTAAAATTATCTCAGTTCACAAGTAGAACGAACGAAAACGTCCTGGAAAACTATACAATTGTTCAAACTTTGTCGATAACTTTGCTTATAGACTACATACCAGAAATAAATATTAATAAGCAAATGCCTATGAGGAAAATGATTTAATCTCCTGCTCTAACATTAAGGGAACTTGCATTGCTACAAAAAATTGGAGCATTTTAGGTCTGAAGAAACTTGGAGCCTAGCTGTAACATTTTTTGCACGAACACTCACTTAATAAAAAATAACCGCACAAAACAGATTATGGACAAATGATACTCCAAGTAGCAAATAAAATATTGTAGCAGCTCACGGTACTCACGCTGTCGGGATACGAAGCCATAGAGAGTCCAAAGCATAGCGCCTGCAACACAGAACAAGTTAAAAGGGAACGAGGGGAACAGCATCAGGAAAAAATCAACGTAAATAACACTTACAGTACATAAGGCATTAGGATAAGAAATAATATCAACTATCGTCGGATATACTCAGAATTGGGTTCCTGACGTCGAAGATAATCTAATCATGATACCTACAAGAAGATACGTAGTATTTTTGGTGCAAAAGAAACAGCAACCGTGCAAATAAAGTGAGGTCAGTTTGCGAGACTGGCAAATGGTAAATGCGAATCTCATACAATTTTCAGTGCTCTTAAATTAAATCACACAGGCGATCATTATTAATGAAGGGAACTTTTATGAAACTTATGCGTACAATAAAAATAACCTGCACGATGTACCTTCTTAAAAAATATTTTAACCGTTGGCAACTGGGTGAGTTGAAAGAATTTCAATTCATTGCAATTAATTACAAATTGATTAAAATTGAGGATCTCGCAGCTGATTATATCAGATAATTTTCCTAAATTAAAATATACAAAATTATGCTCGTCTATACATAATTGTCATAAAGTGCAATTAGTTAGCTCTTATAAAATAAAATATGTAGGAATTAGCATTCGCAAAGTCGGTCTGTGTAAAACGAATTCCCGTAATAAAAATAAACTCTCATTGACAATCTATTAAGAAAGGATTCAAACATATTTGATATCTGGTATTTAATGCCGACTGGTTTAAATTTTGAGGCACGTATCCTGTGAACATTTCAATGCGGCCAAACAAAATGTTCATGCACTATTGTATTAAAAATAAATAATCGAAAATGAAGCATGCACCGAAAAACCAATAAGTGTTTGCTCGTCATTCAATTACCACGCAGCCAAATAGATAAGTTTACCACTCCGTATGTTTTGAAGATATGTCTCATGAACAAACATAAGTTGACGTCAGTCTCACCGAAGTGAAGAGGCCAGTGAGGATGTTCTTCATGCTAAGCTCCTTCATCATTTTGACTTTAAGGTTCTTTTCACTTTCAACAACTTTCAAACAATAATGGTCACTGTAAAAAAATTTATCAGGTTTTGTATTAAATCTTACTTTACCACAGTTTACCTACACACACCATCCTTACTACCATTATACCAGTAAAGTACAACCATGGTAGAAGAATAGCATCATAGTATTCACAACGTACAATTAGTTAAAAAAATTTTATGACATCAAAGTTATGAACTGGCTTTAGATATTTGATGTCATAAGATATGGAGTCTTCGCAATTAGAGGGTTCTTCAGTAATTTAAAAACAAAAAAATATATTAACGAAGCTCATCGAGACAAGAGAATCAAAGTAAAAATGGGGAATAGGAAGGAAATAATGATTTGGCCCATCATATGCGATTCCAACGAAAGTGAAGAGCATCGATGTGTTTACTAATCATTGAATATCTGGGAAACTGTCTAACTGGAAAAACAACAAACCCTATCGCTGCGAGTGATCCCAGTGAGTAATCAAATAGCTCATTAGGATTGTGTCAGTGATATGGCCAGTGTCTGCCATATCGTAATTGTACACACAAGTGATAATTCCGCTATTTTAATGGGTAAACATCAGGAGGAGTTTCAGAAGTAAAGGAATCAAGAAGTAAAGGAACCAAGTTCCAAGAACGGCACTCCTGCTCCCAACATCTCAGTTCACAACATACAGATACGATCACGCACCCGAGTGAGCCTAGATTATAAAGAGGCTCTAAGTCACATCGCTGTTCATTAAGAAACTCCCGCATTTTTTATTTCGAATAGACGATTGAAGAACTATAGTATTTCCAATGTATACAATAAGGCATATTTCCTAAGCAGGCATTTCCAAGCAAAGCAAGAGAACAGGTGCTTTCAAATCACCCATGATCACGGCAGTAGCTGGCAATCGGAGAACGAAACGTGAATTTTGACCACATTTTAGAGCGGAGTAATATCACGATAAGAAAAAGCCATCAGGTTTGATTTTTGTCTATGGGCAGAACTATACCATCTTTCTTAGATGATAAAGCTATACATGTATAAAATCTGTGGTAATAAAACGACGATAGTTCAGAGTACTGAGCAGCCCTTTAATTAAAACTTTGTAGTGTCGACAAGGCAAGCAGCCAGAGTGGTTAGGTGTGGCCACATCACTGGGCCATAAAGCCTATTTACATTTGTAGTCAGTACGAGGATGTACTGTATGTAATCTTTATCACCACTGAAGAGAAGTGCGTGCTCATAGCTGGCCGTGCCAAAATTCACAATCAATAAAAATTTATTTCTTTGAGCAAAAGATATCAGAGGCAACGTATTTTATACGATCAATTGCTAAAAGCCATCGGAGCCAGAAGTTCATAGCAACTACTCAAAGCTGTCTTAAATTTCCAGGTACAAAATCATTTTGCCCGTATCTCTCCAGCCTCTGTCAAGAAGCTTGACACAAGGCGCCATCAAGACTCAGGGGGCAGGTGATCAGCAAAAGTATTGTAGGACAGAAGGCAAGAGGAGTAACGTCCGCTCACTGACGTCATCAAAATTAAGACAAACAGAGCACGAAGAGTATTTCCTATTACAAAGCAAATCTCATTACACCTGAGCACCAATGGAAAGGTAATACCAAAGAGGCACTAAAATTAGGAGAAAAAATGCTCACTAATTAAGGGATCGGTGATTAGGTATGTCTTCAATCTTTCCCTCGGGAAACAGTAACCTGAGAGGGCTTTGTCAATTGCGAACAATAAAAATCCCGATATCTACAAACGATGGTTTTAATTTCCCATGGAAACTTCTTTTACCTGGAATCTCAACTCACATGTTTAGCCATTGGTCAATAAAGGATTTTTATAATAGAAGATTTTCCTCATGTGATGCATGAATTTATATCTTTTCTATGAATCATCTCAATTACGATTTTCACACATTTTTCTTTTCTATTTAAAATTAAAGTTAAATGCGAAGGGATTTTTATGTATAATTCTTTAACCCACAGTCAAAAAGTCAGTGTGGAGCTATAATGAAAATTCATAAACTTCTTGACGAGAACGGCGAGTCTTGTGAATAATCCATTAATTTAAACAAAATAAAAAAATTGCATCAAAAATATGTTGTGGACATAGAGTGTATCACTTCTTAAAATCTCCGGCACTGTGAAGCCAGAGCCAATTAGTCCGTGGTGCGATGCACAGGTAATACAAATTTCAATAAAGATCTATTAAAATTACCGCGAACTGCACTTTTCTTATAAACTTTATTGATAATTTTAAATCGTACACAACTACGGTAAACTGGTTGCATCGCGCAAAAAATGATAAATTAAGGGCGTCACAAAAATATGTTTCGACCTTTTGATTGACTACATCGCCTCATTAAATTAATAAATTCAAGTTAATTTTAATTTCACTTATCACAATGTATGTTTTTCACAAAAATCTATTCTAAATTGGAACTAATTAATTATAATAAAATTATGATAATTTGCAGGGGAGATATAACCTTTTAAAAATCGGTGAACATTTTTGCATGACACTCTACATTAAACCTATATTATATATAGTCACAAAACCTCACCACAATTTTACTCTGTCGGTGGAGAGCGCAGCTTCGAACTAGCTACAAATTAAATTCTAAACCGCAAAATAAATTCTAAAATTCTAAATTTTCATTATTTCAACCATCCGCTGCGCGCGACCACTCGCGACAACCAAACCGAACACAACGCACACTCTAAATGAGGCAGACGCAAGTGTTGCTTCAAACAGGTCCAGGGAAAGCTGGCTTTGGTGTATTCAAAAAGACAACTGTTCCGTCTCATTCACAGCTGCGCTGGTAGTTATGTACAACCCGAAATTGTTCGTTACTCCACGTCTGTTTTAGTCATACAACACAAACTTATTCATAGGCAATTCTTTTTAATTCATTCGTACAGAAAAAATACTAAAGTTTCACTAATTCTTCATTTTATTTTTTTATTCTATTTATATACTTGTTTATTCATTTAATTATCTGTTTTGTTCACGAAAAAGACACCGCGTTTGAATCACCACGTAAATCATTTGCATCCTTTGATGTTTATAAGTGGATGAATTACCGAAATTTCTCTTCTGTTAACTATTCCTTGTAAATGTTTAGAATGATATTCCTCACATGATGTTAGAATGAGTTAAACATGAAGCTGTGCATTTTGTTTTTTTTTAGAATTGGGGAATAAATTTTATGTGTTCGGCGGACTACATTTGTTTACTGTGATCATTATCTTGGCAGGTAACTATGACTCCCTGTGATCGATCTCGCTCCGACTGACGTTTGGATATGAGTAAATCGATGCCTTCGTGCAGCTAATAACAAACAAGTGTTCACGCTTTGAAAGATGGAGAGTAATGTTTAAACCCACGGCACTTCTAAAAAATATTTCGATCGTATGAACAAAAATCACTGGCTTCGATGAGTAAAATAAATGCTAGACTTCATGCTGCACGCGCAGCATGAAAAACTAGACTTCATGCTGCACGAGCAGCATGAAAAGCTAGACTTCATGCTGCACGAGCAGCATGAAAAACTAGACTTCATACTGCACGCGCAGCATGAAAAGCTAGACTTCATGCTAACTAGTAATTAGTAACGCTCTGATTGACACACACGATCAAACTCACTGAACTTTGAATACATTTCTCAGTCTGGTGAATAAGAAACCTGGGCTCGCATATGAACCACGATGGAAAACCGATGATGCAGTAGAAGCTCGATCACGGAAATTTTTTCCCAATGAGAAGATCGTAATATCGTAACTTCATTCGTGTTCGTGTTTTGTTCAATGCCAATGTCAATCGTTTCTTCCGCTGGTATTAACAGTAATGTTGAACCGATTAATCGATTTGCGAGTTTACAAAAAAAAATAATATATTAAAATAAATTATTAAATTTGTTTAATTCTTTCCGGAGAGCAAATTTTCTCTCCATACTGTCAATTTTTATTCCAGAACTTTATATTCACGCGTAGATGAACTTAAGCTGGAGCTGAAAAGCAGAACGTTATGCATGAAACGCGTTAAATTTTCTTGCCATATCTGATGGTGGTTCATGCGTTTTAAAGATACCAAATAATGACAATGTGTGATAGTGATGTTCGATATCATATTTAACTGAATTAGGATTCGTAAAACTATCCTCGTCCTGCAGCAATATTGATCATTTCGAGGTTGAATGGCTCTGACGTTTGCTGATGATTGCGTCGACAGTGAGAGGCTCATATTGCCGCAAGTTTGCTCTAATATAAAAGCTTCATGGTTTCAAGCAAATTTCGTTGAAACGACGTTAACTACTGTCGGGCTGGAAATTTTTTCGTTGGAAAAACGAAACTTTTGTCAATCAGAGTTTTTTCAACGGCAGATGCCTGGTGCAGTTGCGGTTTTGGCATGTTATATTAGCCAAAACCGACCAGCAAACGATTTTATAGAATTTTACGGCTACCTGAAGCTTTGGCCCGCAACTCACTGATTCAAATTAGGTAAGCATTACAAGTCGGCCAGCCCGATGAATCATGATTTACTGCAGAGCAAATCGCGCATTTTATTTATTTATATCTAACTTCCATCTTCATTTTTTTAACATTTCATTGCATCCAACATACGCGGCTTTCTATAAAGTAAGTTTTAAGGGCATGCGAAAATAGCTACGTTGTACTTTGCGTTTTGCGGTCCAAATTAAAAAAAGTCGAAATTTTACGAATTTTGGGTTGGAAATTTTTCTTTTGGTAAATTCCCAATATTTCTATAACTTCACACGCACAAGAAAATTACTAATGCAATGATATTTTGCTCGTACACATTTTTTGGACGAAATGAGATAAAACGAGAAATGTAAAGGAAGTAAAAATTATGAGTTATGAAAAAATTTTCAAATTCATATTGTTTCTTAGCTGAAGTTTGTAAAAGTAGTATAATGATTAGAACGCAAATGCCAATCGACTCTCGAGATTTATTTAAATTGTGTTTCTATTTTTTCCGATTTTTTTTCCGGCCAACCCGCTGAATCAAAATTTACTG